CTTCCACACCTCCAGACATTGCTTTGGCTTGCACATTTGTTGCTTCCAGTGTTCGGCCAAAAGTAAGTAACTCTTTCAGAGTTAGCGTTGGTTCGCTCAATCCTTTATTCCTGACTTTGATAAGTTGGCATCGCTGAATAATCTGTGATTTTATCTCTGCATCCTTGTTGTGAAATTCACAGTTCTTTGCCAGCTGGCACAATCTAGCATGGTATTTGTCCAGCACTTCAGTGGGATGTTGTGTTGCTTGTCTGAACATAAATATTTCGTATTCAATGTTCCTCTTTGGAGCAAAATAAGCTGACAGTTTTTCTTTTGTCTGTGCATACGTGTCTTCTGCTAGAGTATGGCTTTCACTTATTTCAAAAACGTCGTCGCCGCCCAAGTGAAGCAACATGGCCCGTTTCCTTACATCATCGGTAATTGCCTTAGCGATGAGGAAATTATCAAAACGCTTTAGCCAGCGTTCCAAACGACCAGGTGCCGTTTCTGTAGGTTCAGTTTTGAAAGGTGGAATGGGTGTTTTTTCCATCATTCCATGCAACTCAATAAGGTTCAAAAATAATTTAAAACTCACATAATGTAAGCTAAGCTTGTCTCCAGCCTACGCTAGCTAGGCTGAGTAATGTTCGTTGCTAAGGGGTTGCTAACGGTGCAATGTCTGTAACTCGCCGTTCACTGGTCGATCTACGCTGATCAAAGAGTTAGCCCGATACGTACAGTACTCGCGTTTCCGCATTAATCGTAGCCCGATTAAATGGAGTTGTGACTAAAGTCGCCTGGCATTTAGTTCTCTGGTTATATCCTGATATCCTCGTCGCCAATTATGTGATGTATTGCCAATAAAGAACCCGAAAACTAATTCAAAGTTGTACTGTACTTTTATTGAATCAACAACTAGTATCGTGAACACATAGCAACAACATCCAAAGTTATCAGATAAAAGCATGTTCAGAACAGATCCAGTACAGTCACCATCACCCAATGAAGTGGCAGAATGTAGGTGATGTCATTTTTCAAAACTGGCATTGCATTGCAGATCACCCGCGATGAGCGGTGAAACGAGAACGGTGTAGAGTTCTGGGAAACTAGAACATCAAAAAGTACAATATTGTACTTAGTAGATAAATCGATAAATAGGCTTATGGTTCCATTTAGTAAAGAGTTTCATTTAGCTATAGCCTATGTATAACCATGGAGGAATAATTTATTCCTCCATGGTATAACCATTATCAAACAAGGACTGATTCCACCAAACTCTTGGCAGGCCTCTAGGCCTTGCTTAAATTCTTTGCTTGGCGAAAAATCTAAGCAAGCCTGCTCGGCCTTGCTTGGATTCTGCTTTTCACGGCAGCTGCTCTGGTGACATTGATCTAAGTGGCATAGGCCTATATCAGTCATAAACTTAGCCTAGTTCCTCCGTCATCATACCGTCTGAACTTCATAATCCCTGCATCCCAAGTTTTAGTCCAAGAAGTTCGAAATAATACCACGCTTTACAATCCCACCAAAATATTCATACAATTTGAATGCACAAAACTTTTCGTAGGGCTAGGCTTCGTCACTGTTTATGGTAAAGAATCTAGGCCTAGATCGAGAGAATAAGTTTCCCCTTTGTGATTATTACAATTGAGTCAAATTTTTCCAATACTTTTGATGCAGACCTTAATACTGTCATAGAAAAATAGGCGTACCACTCAATAATAAAGTCATGTCATTATATTAGCCTTATCAAGCAAGGCACCATCCTCAGGACTTAGGCCAAGGCACATCGTATACACACACTACTGCTAGACTTTTGGTATTTATATGACAACACTTGCAATAAAAAAATGAATATACTGTAAACAAGAGAATTCATACAGGCCTACTTTTACTATAAAGTGGAACCATATGCCTATTTAAGGATGACAGTAAAGTCAAACAATATTGTACTTTTGATGTTCTAATTTCCCAGTACTGTACAATGATCGTTCTCCTTCCACCACTCATTGCGGGTGATATGCAATGCCAGTTTTCAAAAAATGACGTCACGCACATTCTGGCATTTCATTGGGTGATGGTGACGTAATGCCATTTACCGTACCTTTAGCAAAACGAAGTAGAAATACGGTACCGTATCTCTAGCCACGGCGTAACATTTTAGGCTTGGCCTATAGGAGCTAGACCTGTGTCTATTAAGTGTTGTTTTTATCATTTTGTTTTCTACGTGCTCCGTCACCTTCCAGAACGGCCGCCCGCCCCTCCGGAACGGCCGCCACTGTGTGTATGTGTATGGAACGCCAGTGACGCATTCACAATTATTAATACAATACCGCTCACTAAATACAAAGAATTCAAGTCAACTAGGCCCCAGTCAGCTCGGCCTTCTTTTTCATTTACATCTAATGTTTAATAAAGCATTTTATATATAGGCCTACATACTAGCCTATATAAAATCTGAATTAGAATAAAAGGATACAATAAAAAATTAAAATATAGTTAATAAGAATTGTAAACATCATTAAAATATAATAAAACCATTGCTTCAATATAACATCAAAAATTTTGATAGATCGTATAAATAATTATGGTATTCGTTTCTTATTAGTAATATATATAAAACTAGTTTGGATTTTATCTATATCATGATTTATATATAGGCCATATATATTTAAATATGTATACATATAGATATATAATTTATATCATAGGTTGAAAATTAGTTTCCTCCACTAAAGTATTTCTAAAGTTCATACATATGATATTTGTTTCTAATATATATATATATACATACATACATGCATGCATGCATGCATGCATGCACGCACACACGCACGCACGCACACATACATACATACATACATACATACATATATACATATATATATATATATATATTGATGATATTGATGATATCTTCATGATCTGGACCAATGGTGAAGATAGTTTGGATACGTTCCTATTGAACATTAATTCGGCTCATCCCACAATCAAATTCACTGCTAACAAATCCACAAGCAGTGTAGATTTTTTGGACATCACCGTGACCATGGAAAATGGTGCACTTAAAACTGATCTCTTCCGTAACACCTGTCTCTTATACACATCTAGATGTGTATAAGAGACCCATCGTACTTTGTTTTGAGCTATTGTTTCAATTTGCTTCCAGGAGTAGCCTTGCCATCATTTACAGTTCTTCTCCAGCTATTTCTGGGACGACCTCGACTCCTCTTTCCTTGCAAATTCCATCTCAGAGCCTGTCTGGTGGTATTATTGGGTTGTTTCTTGAGGGTATGTCCAATCCATTCCCACTTGAATCTGGATGTCAAGTCTTTCCAGATCTACATTTTTTTACAGCTGTTCATTACTGATCTTAATGGATCACAGGTATTTGATTACAAATATTTGCAACTTATTAGAGCTGGCTTTTGTTGTTCTCCATGTTTTGATATCACCTTTGATTTCCATATTGGTCTAAGCATGACAAATGCAGTTCTTGCCTTCCCAATTCTTGTCTGTATGTCACACTCAACTCCACCATCCTTGCTGATGTTGCTTGGTCTGTCCTCTTTTACTTGTAGTTGAGTTTCAGCTGCCTCTATGTAGGCCATATCAGTGGGTGGAGGTCTATTGAGCAATTCCCTAAAATGCTCAGCCCATCTCTTCACTTGTTCTTCTTGTCCTATAAGTACCCTACCGCTCTTATCTTTGACTGGTCTGTCTGCTGATGTGTGACTTCCTGAGAGCTGTCTTGTTATGGTGTATAACTCCTTCATATTCCTTTGGCCTGTAGCAACCTCTGCCTGACACGCGAAGGTCATCTACAAAGATTCGCTTATCTTTCCTGATGCTCCGCTTGACTTCCTTGTTGGCTTCTGATTATCTGTTTTTTGCTTCTGCATTCACTGTTCTGGTTCTGCTGCGATTTATTTCTGCTTTTCTCTCTTTTCTTGCTTCAACCTTTCTTATTGTGTCTATACTTGTATAGGCCTTGTGCTCTTTGGTTTTCCTTCCCAGTGTTTCCTCGCATGTGCCCTTCCTTCTTTAATAGCTCCTCTCTTGGCTCTTACAGTACATCCAATAGTGACCTCCTGAAATTTAGTTGACACACAGATGTGATCAATTTGGTTCTCAGTCTTGTGGTAACCCATGTTACCTTATATACCCTTTTGTGTGGAAATATACTTCCGCCAATGACCATCTTGTTAAAGGAACAAAAACTGGATAACAGTTCTCCATTTCCGTTCATTTCACCTAGGCCATGTTTGCCCATCACAGTTTCAAATTCTAGATTGCCGATCTTTCTTGGCTATATTGTCAAAAACATTTTGCAGCATGTCATAGAAATCAATTTTAACCTCATTTTCAGCTTCATTTGTTGGTGCATAGCACTCAATGACAGTGGTTTTGCAAACCTTTGTGTGAAATCTTGCAGATATGATTCTCTATGATATTTGATTCCATTCTATTGAGTGATTTGGCAGCCTGTTTTTACAGCATTACTCCAAATCCTGTATGGGGTGCATTTGCATCTTCATGTCCAGAATAAATGAGAGTCTGTCCCGGAGACAGTCTTATACAGCCTGATTCGATCCACCTAGTCTCACACAGCCCCAATATCGAAAGCTTGTATGCACTCATCTCAGCAGCAATCTGTGCTGATTTACCCGTTTTGTAATGGTCCATGCCATGTACCAAACAGTGTGGTTGCCTTGGGAGAAAGAAGGGAGATCAGCATGGCAGCTTCCTTCTGGCTTTCACTGCTACGCTTCATACTTGCCCCTGATAGGACACCTGCTTCTCTCAAGACTGGTTTAAATTTGTGTTTATTTCCTAAGGTTTCTGTAATTGGTTTAGAATCTACTTGACAGGTGATTGGCCCATCTAGCTTCACCAGAGCCCTGTCAGCCAGAATTGTTCAGGGTTCTGGATAGGCTTTCATGGCTACCGTATCAGCCTAGGAGAACAAATCCCCCGCCATACTTCACCCTATCCAGCAATCCCATACTTTCCTGTTGCCCGGTTACCACGACATGGACGTGGGGTTGGTCTTTAGTAACCAAATAACTATATATACTCGGCCATTATATATACTCAAATATGTACATGATTCATGGCATCGATTCAATCATTTGTTGCTCAATAAAAGCAACAATACTAGCCTGTCCATAGTAGTAGGGTTAAAAGTTAACGTTATAATATTATTAAGAAAGTACATATTGCAAAAATAGTATATTGAACAGTAAAGACTATAACAGTAACATGGAGAAAAATTCTTTAAAAAATGTGAATAAAATTTAATAATTCAAACACTCAAGTAGGTGTGTAACTTTTTACTACCGGTATGTATTACAAACACTTGTAATGAAAAGTAGAACATGTTATGCTATATTAAGTGCAGACGACAAGTTGCTCGACATTTGTCTTCTGACAAAACATGACATGAGAAAAAGCTGCCTTTCCTTTTTATCTCGATAACATCCATGTGAAAATATAAGCGCTTTCTTTTTTTATCTCCATAACATCCTGTATGAAAACACGCGCTCTCCT